GGTTATTTCGTTTCGTCTCAGCGTGGTTTCCCAAGCGGCAGCTTCGTTCGCTGACTGGCATCGTCTACCGTTCGGCACACAGTCGAACTCGTTCACCACTGGACGACAGACGTCGCGGCGTCGCAGCCGTCCGCCACCTGAAAACGACACACGCAGACACGCGCACGCTCGAAAATCCTCGACCGGGCCCACGGACCGCAAAAATCGCACACCGACCAAGCCGTCGGGATGATCCGTCACGTATGCCAAATAGGTTTCCTCCTCGTGTCTGTGTCAGTGTTCGCGCGTCAAGGCACCGGTTGCGCGTTCTGCGAGCCGCTCTCGCAGCAACAGTCCCAGCTACGCCAGCTAGAGCAGCTGTCCCAGCACCAGGGATACAGGACGATCGGCAGCCCTAGGCCTTTCGGCGCCGAGCGTCCCACAAGGGTGGAGGAGTTCAACAGGACCGGCGTGCTCCACCCCGAGTACCAGATACCGGCCACCCTTCGACCCGGCAATGTATCTCAGTGAGTATCACCCTCTCCCCTTCGGACGCTTCTCCTACTACCGCGCTCCTCGGGATCGGTTTCGATTCGAGCCCTCGCACTTCGTGACGGTTTAATAGTTTGACTGGCTTGTCATCTGAATTCGAATAACAATTCTTTGCGTAGGGATTGAACCTTTAATACTAGGTTTACGCACGTTCATTGCGCGAATTATTCTATTGTTTCTAGGAAAATTGATGCTCATTCGTTTGAATCTTGGAAATTAGGGATTTAAAAGTAGACTATTAGGGTACATATTCGTATAATTGCCCCAATCGAAACTTGGATGAACATTGACAATGGAATGTTTATAAAATTCAATATGCGTCAAATTGACGCGCTCCGTAAACTTAGTGTTAATGGTGCAAAAGGCTACACTGCGTGGAAATGTAACGAATTTTGTTTCCTTTTATATCTGTTTATTACATTTGTTGTAGTTTTAGATTATTGATTATAAAATAATAATGATTGTTAGATTTTGAAAGAATGATTGTAATTTGAAATGAAGTTTCAAATGTGTGTAGAGTATTGAGCGAGACTTATGAATTAAGAAAGAACTTTACACATGCTTTAACTAAGAGAAGATACAATATGTCTATTCATAAGTTAATAAGGGTTGATGATTCAATGCATTTGTTTAGAAATTTGCAATTATTAATTGTAGGTTACTTTTTTAAGCTATTGTTAAGAGTTATTTTTCGTATACCACGTGTGTTTTGAAGGAAAAGAGCTATTCTGAGTAATTTGTTATTTAAAGTCAAATTGCTAGAACGTCACGTTATGCGTCGCCGAGGAGAATCTCGTAATTAGCAATGATCAAGGGGCTCGGAAAACGAAATTTTTATAATATATTAAAACTATTTTACATAATAATAATTACTTTGTAATTGACTATAATTTGGTATTTAGTAAACTTTCCTAGTTTAATTTTATTTTATCTTAGAATGAACATAATGAGCCTACGTTACATGTGTTACAAAATGTTTTACATATAAACTCACTAAGAAAGCATCCTCATTTTCCGAACCCTTAAATTCTTGAAGCTCTTGTTAATTGGAACAATATGAAAAAGGGACCTTGATTTAATTAATTTCAACACATACACTTTAAATCATTTCGTGTTTTCAATTATTGTAAAACTGTGAATACCTGTATAAACGTTTATTTCAGCAATTAACGGAAATTAGGATTTTGCAGAAGTTTTTTTTAATTATTAGGAACATTAAAAAGCTTCGTAGAAAATAAATATAGTATTTAACTTGTATATTTTGCTGAATCTAGTTTTAAACGATCCTTTATGCTTTAAATTCGTAATATGTACGATACAAATGTACAAAATGTAGCAACTATGTTCACATCTGAACAACATTTGTGGAACAAACGATTTCTAACAAAGTAGCAAACATTTTCACGGTTTGCACATGCACGAGAATACATGTGTACACAAGTGTTATTTTGTTGAAGATTGCGATATATTTGTCTTTCATATTCATATTAGTTAATTTAAATAAACAGCGACACATATAAAGATTTTCCAGTTAAGTAATTACTTACCTTACGATCTGGAAATAAAAATTAATGAAACTCACATTTCTCACTGCATTTTGACATGTTAAAACTTGCTCCTTCGATGTCAAACGTAAAAAATGATCTGCATGACCGAGTTATGATTTCGAAATGCTGAATACATTCCGAAAAGAACTTTGTCTGCTACAGAAGACTTTCTTCAATACGGTATCCATCTGTTGGCCGAAGGATGCAAGAGAAGTAACGAAGTATGAAGATATTTTAATCAACAAATATTATAAAACTTACATGATGTTACTAAGCATACAAACTTTTGCATATCCCTTACACACAGATTTTATTAGATAAATATAATGTGCTTCCACTCGAGAATTTATTTCTAGAGCCGTAGTGGATGCACAAAACAGAAACTAATGGAATATCAATCAAACGATATAATGAGGGACAGAGATACTTAAAGATATCATATATTACACAGAAATCAAATAACACAGGAAATTATTAAATAATCAATCCTTTATTCTGTCTGCACTTGTTGCACTGGGCTAAGGCTATTTATGAAAATTCAGGTTTTTACATAGAAACAATTTGAATAATAGGGATTAGAGAAAAACATAATTTATTTTTTTATTAGATACCTACTTTATTACTGAAACAACCCACTGTTACTTGGATTCATGCCGAATTCAACTCACGCGAATAATTCCGGAACACTATGTACACTGTCAGCCGAAAGTTTAGGATCATTCGGAAATTCTCTGTGAAATCAACTCCCGTGGCAAATTTTTCATCGATTCGAGATTAATTTTTTTTAAGAACAATCATTGAAACCTTCAACTATTAACTGTATAATAAGTAATTTTTAATTTCGTTGAATTTATGGTAGTATTTCGTACTTTTAATCGACAATATAAATTGAACTATATGTACATAAAGTGAGGCGATCCATTCAGGGTGGAAAAGAAGTAAAGACTAATGTATACTAATATATGTTTCGTTCTTTTAACTAGTTTGTATTTAACTACGTGTTTATAATATCCAAAAACTACTAACAAAAATTTGATGTTTTTAATTTTAACATGTATACTTATTATAAATTACGAAGGTGTACAGACTGTCCAGTATCTAGTAATACAAGCAAGGATGATTAAACATACAAAACTAAGTTGAAAGTACTCAACTAAATTTTTTTGTTGAGACCTCGTTATCAAGAAAAACAAATTTAAATATTTATCGAAGCAATTTCACTGATTCACAACTAGACTACATTTAAATCAACAAATATTAAAAACATTTCTACGTCTCTTTTGCCATAAGTACTTTTAATTAATAAAATTAGTCTTTCTTTTATTCTAGTTTCTGTAAAATAATCAACACAAGTAAGAATTCACGTAGAAATCCACAGTTTACTTATACTAATCGCAGGCGATTATGATATATACGAAAATAAATGAAAAATAAGTAAAAAAATAGAATTAAATGTTTTTTATACATAAGCTTATTTTCGGGAAAATTTTGAGAAACGTTTGAACATATGTTCTGTTAGCAGTGAACCAAATGCAGGTGTGCTGAATAAATTCACAAACTGGATTTTCTCGGAAACAAGATTTCAAATGAAAAAATGTTGCTGTATACTTTTTAGTTGTTTTTTTCGTGTAGAATTAATACTTGCTATTAAACCAGTCACGTTCACTTGAGTTACTTGGATATTCGTAGATATATTCCAAGATTGTCGAATTTTTATTTTCTCAGAAATGAAATATGTTCATTCCTTATCTCTGATATAATTTGTTAATGTAGAATCATTCCTTTTCCGGTTAGCTATTTATTAGACTCCAGTTAATTGAACCAGGTATTTTAAGATTGAAAATATTTCATCTATACAGAAAAGGTTAAGCAATATATTATATAATTATACATTCTAGTTTATTATTAGGAGTTGATATTATCCCAGTTTTAAAAAATATAATAATATTTCGATGAAAATAAATAATAGTGCATTTCTCATTGCAAGAAGATAAACTATGACACTTTGAATTACGGAAATATTTTTTTCTTTTTACGGACACGAAGTTTTTATATTGCATTTTATTATATAGTAATAATTAACAAAACCTTAACCTACATACATGATTGGTGTGCCATTATAAGTATACATTTAATTTAACGTATTTTAAATGTTAATCAAATTAATATAGGTAACTAAACATTGTCTAATAACTAAAATACAAATATACAAATATAAATACTAAGGAAAAGGTTGTGCACATTAATTTCATATAAAAATATCCAACACTTAATAAATCAATGCACTATTACATTATTTATCTTTAATCTATTGAAATCGTTTATACATCAAGTAAAAATATATATATTTATCGTCACTCCTTTCATTTATAAGAATGTAAATTTGTATTAATTATTGTTGTATTGAGGCAATTACAAATGTATTTGTGAATTTCGAACATTCATCACGTTTTACTGGAAAACAGGTAATTATTCCGACAGTAGAATTTCTCCGGGCGTGATCACACTTATCGTTAGTTTGATCTAAAATTAAACGAATCGTAAGAAAGGTGCATTCACATTTCACCGAACTATAGTAACAATTCGTGTGAATTTCGTTTGCGCCACACAGCTTGTTTACCATGCACGTGCACCAGAGTCCATGCAGCCTCGAACGTTTATACGGGAACGTCACGCACCCCGTACACGGTTTCATCAACCACGGCGCAGATTTTACAAATGCAATTTGACTCACTCCACTTGCGAAAAATACTACCCCAGACGGAAATGACATGACCGGGCATATTAAAATGACACATTAAACTGATCATAAGTTCATTCCTTACGCTATAAAAATAGAAAATAGGTATTCCTTTATGTATAAACGAAGGAAAGGGAACCAATAATTGTTTAAAAAATAAAAACATTCACTAGATAATAAATATAAACTAGAATTTCATATATATTTCATGTTTCTTTATCAAAGTAGTAATGTAATTTACATTAGATACTCCTTTCTCACGTTTTGTTTGACAAATAATTCCATATTTTATTGACGCATATTGTCGCATATTTTATAGATTCATTTCTATCTGCACAAAAAGTTCGAAAATAGTTGATCTCAAATTTGATTAATACACAAAGGACTTCATATTGGTACAAATCTTGTACTTTGACATTCTTAAATATATAATTCCACATTTCTTAGAATTCGAATCCTTCTTCATAACTCTTATTTATTAGCTTATTCACACGAGTAAATACTTTTTGCCAGAAAAACTATAACTGCACGAGTTAATTACATTAACAAGGATAAAAACGTCTATTATATGCATTACCTAAAAGTACTTAACGAGTTTATATAGCACATTAATATTAATATTCAACACTTGATTCTAAATGTCGTTACTTATTTATATCTTAAAAGATACGAATATCCCTTTATAATT